TGGGGATGAGCGTGGAGAAAACAGTGCAACAATGAATGAATGAAAACCCAAAATCTCTGTAAATGTTCATTAAAACTAATAAAATTTAATTAAAAAAATACCCTGAAATGGTTAGGGGACATTGAAAAAAAATCATTTTACCTTTCTAGGCCTCATATTTCTTATCCAAAGTCAGAGGACAGTGAGTGAAATGATCTCTAAGTTTCTCTGATTCACATATATACATCAAACTGTACACTGTGATGGGGTACTGGGTAAATCACTATATCCTGGCCTTATGATGTTAAAGTTGGCCATACGACTTGTTTAAAGCAATAATTGTATATGTCTCTTCTTAGAGCCAGTCTATCTAGCATCTTCTGCTCCCTATGACAAGATTCTGGAGTGATGATAACACAAAACTCACCCACACCAACCAGTAACTGACTTTAACCCAAGGATCACAATACCTTTGCTATTGTCAATACAATATGATCCAGCAAAAACTGATTAAATACTAGATTTACTGGTGATTGAAAACCAGTTCATGGTTACACTTTAAAACAAAAACTCAAGCTAAATTTAATAAAAATGTGATTGACATATATTATGACATAATGGAAATAAATTTTAAAAAATTTAAAAATAAAACAAATAAGATTTGTTTTAGGTTTTGTTTGTTTGTTTTTTTAAAAAAAGCCTTAAGCATGTGCATAGACTTCATTGTGATTTTTGGCTTGAATCCTTGGCTGATCATTCCAAGTAAGAATCAACATTTGTTAAAAATTGTTCTTCATCATTAAGATATTCCAAGATAATATTTCCACCATTATATAAAGGACAACCCTTCTTAGCAATCCACATTTCCAATATATTATCCAGAGGTAAAACTTCTCCTGAAGTAACGTGGCACAACCTTAGCTTCTGTTAAAAGAGAAAGAAACCATATAGTAATGAGTAAATATGCTTGTAGAAAATTTCCTTTTTCTTTTAATGTACAAACTCTTGTAACAGGCTATTACCTTCGCTGTTGATTTGTTATTGTCATTTCGAAGGCTGGCTAAGGAGGCAGCAAAGTCTATGACTTTTCCAACACTCCACTTGTGGCAAAAAAACATTGGTTTGCTTTTCTCCTTGCTCCCCTTAGGTAAGAAAACCTGGAAGTAAATTCTTTCTGTCTGTTAAAAAAAAGGAAAGTAAAATACAAGTTAGATATATGAGATGAACCAAGCCTAGTGCCCTAGAGTTGATTCCAACTGATGGTGACCCCCCCCCCATCAAGTTTCCAATGTGACTGATCTTAATAGAAGGAAATTGTCTTTTTTTTTCCGCCAAGTTGCTGGTGGATTTGAACTGCTGTCCTTTAGACAGCAGTATAACACTCAAAGTATCGTGTTGCCCGAACTTTTTAAAAATGAGAAACATATCCATTTTTATTTGGTGATATTTCTTCCTTTTTTACCAGATACTTCTTCTGGTAAAAGATTGATTAGCATCTAATGATAAGGCTTATACTAACAATGTCAATCATAATAATCCAGTACCTACCACTCAGTGACATGCTCTAAACTCCCAGCTACTATGATTTGTGCAAAGACAGACCTAACTTAGGCTGATCAAAGATTTCTCATGGGATTTCTATGCTCAGTGTGGGGAGTGAGTGTGTGTGTATGTGTGTGTGTGTGTGTATGCCTGGAGTGCTTTCAGTCTGAGCTTTTTACGACTTTCTGAATGCAATCTGAACTTGCTTGCAGCCATTTGCTATTACTTCTCACTTTCTTTGTACCAATATGGAAAAACGGCCTTGAATGAGAAAAAAAAGGATTTCAGCACACAGAGAAAGGAGAAAATTGATAGAGCCATTCAGTATCATTTGAATCCCCGAATTCAGTCAACCTCTGAGACCTATTCAATCCCTACTACTCTTAACTACATGGGGGAAAAAATCCTTTTGATGGTTAATGTAGTTAAAACCAAGTTTATATTATTTTTAACTGGAAGATTCCTTATATATAACAATCCTTTTATGTTAAATATTTCACTATGTATTTAGATGTAGCAGTACTTTTGTGAACAAAGGAAGTAAAAGAAGAAAAAAAGACAAATACCACATTAACAAAAAGAGGGATTAAGATATGACTGCATTAAATTCTATACCTTGTTGTTGTTATGTGCCATCGAGTCGTTTGTGACTCATAGCGACCCCATGTACAACAGCCCTAAACCGTGCTCTATCCTGTGCCTTAGCTTTTTTATAATAGGCTTTCTTGCTAAAATAACAAAACACAAGAAAGAAAAAGTAGTAGCAAATGTGCTTGGCCTCTGACCATCCCTAATTTGTAAAAATTGCTCTAAAAACCCTAATGAATTTATAAATAAATTCCTTCTATAAGAAAAACTGTAGCATAAACAAATCATCTCTACACTAGAGAGAAAATAGTATCATGATTTTCAGAAATAATATATTTAACACAATTCTCTGAGTATAAAGAATTTAGATTTTTTTGAAGAACAATAAAATTTATAACTAAGACACATTAACACATACACAAATGAAGTCATCAGAAATTTAAGCTTTGGGTCTATTCTATGGCCTAACAGTACCAATTTCAAAATCAAAATAACAAAGATACAAACATTCAAACAAAAAGATATAGCTTTACCAAAAAATTAAAGACAAATATTTTCAAAAGAGATTCTGTCTAAGGATCAAAAAAGGTACAGAAATTGAAAATTATAAGCAGGATTGAAGCCACAGCCTGCGATACTCTAAAAGAGGAAGATGCAGTCTGGATTTCAGGTTTGTGGAAAACAACAGTACCACAATGAAGATAAAATATCTGAGCAGGCTCACTGCTTGGAAATAATGGCTGTTCCTGGACTGCTTTCCAGAGATAAGAGGTTACAGAAGTTACTGGTAAATGATGACAAGGGTTATGGCTTATAGAAGTAGACAATGTAGCAAGTTCTGGTGGCCTAGTGGCAAGAAGCTGTACTGCAATCTCAGAGGTAAGCGGTTCAAATCCACCAGATGCTCTGCTGAAGGAGAGACAATCTCCTCCTGTACCAGTCAGATCCAATTTGATGGTACACACATAGAAATTAATAATAATAAAAAAATTTTTTAAAAAGACGTAGATAATGTAGAGAGACATATATACCTTCCAGACAGTAACCAAAGCTAAGGCCTCAAACTCAGTAAACAGGTATATAATAATGTGAGGAAAGCAGAAAAAGCTCAAATTCTTATCTCAAGATTTTACATGGAATGGTGTGGGGGTCCTGGGTAAATGTGTCAGCTGGAAGAAAATGCAAAATGTCTAGACAGGAAGAAAGAGGTAAGTGAACTGAGTGAATTAAGAATTTTTAAAAACGACACAAATCTATTCACAGGAAAAAAAAAAGAAATTTGAGACAAATGAAAGGTTAATTCATTATAAGCAAAATTTTAAAAAATGTGATCTAAAAAGATACTAAAATAAGCTTCTTTATGCTATGTGGGATAAATTAAGAAATAATATCCATAAAGAATAACAAAAAATTAAACCAGCAAGAAATGAAACATAAATTTCTGTAAAGATTCATTCAATCAGAAATTTTTGTAAAAATATGGTTTCTAAAATAAGAAATCCCAGGAGGATAAGCTTCTATAATCATCAATGAAAAGAATGAACAAATTGAAGAAAAGATTTGATGAAGCCACTCAATACACAGCAGAGATATCAAGGTAGAAATTGTCAAAGCAATTAAGCAAAGAAATTGACAAGCAGACACTGCGTGGTTTAAAATTAGCAAAGGTAATTGGATGATGAATGAAAATGAAAACAAAAAAAAAATTGACAGAAGTTACTAAGGAGAAGAAAGGAAATGGTGAAGACAATTTCTTTACAAGGAAAATGATAGAAATTTTCCAAAAGTGATGAGTCAAAAGTGAAAATTCACCTCACGTGCTAAGCTGGATATAAAAAAAATAAATCTATACCTGAAAACACTGCACTTAAAGTGCAAATATCACAAAGCGGGGGGGAAAGGGTTTAATATAGATGTGGTTGTTGTTATGTGCCATCGAGTCACCTGCAACTCATAGCGACCTGAAGTACAAGGGCCCTAAACTCTGCACTATCCTGTGCCAATCTTACTGTCTCTGACACACTAACCTCAATTACCCCAGTCACTGAATCTATGTGTCTCATCAAGGGTGATCCTCTCTTGCTGTCCCTTCACCCTCCCTCCCAAGCATGACGTCCCTCTCCAAGGACTGGTCCCACCTTGCAACATGTCCAAACCATGTCAGATGAAGCTTCAGAATCCTTGCCTCCAAGGAGAAGCCTGGTCTCACACTCTCTAGGATGAACCTGGTTTTTTTCCTAGCAGTCCATGCTTTATTCAATACTGTTCTCCAGCACCACAGCTCAAAGGTATCAATTCTCCTTTTATCATCCCTATACAAAATAAAACTGACAGTAAACGTTTCTGATAACAAAAGAACAAGTTTCAGAGTTTCTTCTGATATCCACTTTAGTCTTTCTTTTTAATGTCTTTTTACTTTCAATAGTGAAAGATTCTATAGGCAAAATACTGAATGATGCAGGAAGCATCAAAGGAAGATAGAAGAAATAGGGAGTCATTTGACAGTAATGAGAAAAGCTGTTATATGCCAAGGAGTCTAAACAGACTCACACTCATAGCTGACACTTCAGCAAGTTTTCAGAGGCTGTAAATCATACATGAGGAAACAGACCACTTTGTTCTCAGAGCAGCGAATGCATTTGAACCATCTGCCTCTCTGAGTTACTAGCACAGGTCCTTACCAGGCCATTAGAGCCCCCTAGGAAGAGATGAGAATATAACATAAAGTAAAATCTTGCTGAAAGTAATTAAAAAAGAGGTGAAGAAACTCAAGGCAGATTCAGAAAAGAATGTGGAAAAAAGAAATACCACTGGTAACATCAGACAGATATTGGCTAAAAAATGAAAATACATTTTTTACTTGTGTTTGATTGACAATAAAATTACTATAAAAAATGTTTACTTGTGTTTGACTGACTATAAAGGTATTTGATTGTGTTGATCGTAACACATTATAGATAGTATTACAAAGATCATAAATTCAGAAATTAGTTGTGCTCATGTGGAACTTGTACATAGTCCAAGATAAAGGGGTTTTTTTCTATCTTTGTTTTTAACAGGACAAGCAGAAAGTACAAGGTTTAAAATCAGGAAAGGTAAAAGTCAAGGCTATACCTTTTGACCATAACTATTTAATTGGTAAGATGAGAAAATAATTCGAAAAGTGGGACAACACGAAGAACACTGTGGCATTAGGACTGGAAGAAGACTCATCAATGACCTACATTTTGTAGATGACATAACACTGCTTTCAGATAGGGGACAAACTTAAAGCACTCAGGATGATGATCAAAGATTATATCCTTCGGTGTGAATTACACTTCAACAGGAAGAAAAGAAAAATTAGTTTTTCCTCATACTTAGACTAACAGAAAAAACTCTGATGAGCAAAGATTGAAGTTGTTAATAATTTTACTTTATTGGGTCCACAATCAATGCCCATGCGCACAGTAGTCAATAAATTTAATGCATCTGGCAAATCTGTTTACACTGTGTAAATGTGCTGCAAAAGATCCCATTAAAAAGTTAAAGAGCAAAGATGTTTCCATGAGAATTAAAGTGTGCCTGATCCAATGTATGTATTTTCAATTGTCTCATCATAGTATTAAGGGTTTTTTGTTCAAAATGGCTTTCCTAGCTAATGAGTTTGGCTTTGCCATGAGGATAAGCGGGTATATCCGAGTTGGTTGTGTTTGCCTACTCCCAAGGGGACTGGATAGTCTCACCATTAAATTGAGTGGATCTAGCAGGAGAATTTGAGAATCTCATCTTCAGCATATATGCAGCAAGAGGAAGTAGCATGCCCTTCGAGGCCAGAGATTCTTGCGCCAGCCAGACAAGTAGTGGCCACAGGGGGCACAGCAGAGAACTTAAGACTTGATGTGAGACAGAATAGACTTTGGGACAGCTTGGGAGGTGGAGGAGGGAAGGGAAAGGCTCTCCCCATAATTGGGAGTTAATCTTACCATAACTGATAAAACTGGCCTAAAGTCATAGGGCTGAGGTGCCTGTGAACACATTTCAGAAGCTATCCTGACTGAATTACTGTATCTACTACCACCCTACATTACAGCATTTTTACTTCCCTAATATAATGCTGTGTGCTTCATGAGTTTTGAAACACATTTTGGACTCAGTAAAATGGTAAGATTGGTGTTGAGGTGAGTAGAAAGAGGAGTGGGGGTGTGGGGGACATGTCTGACTTCATGGGAACTGTTTTTATGTTATTGATGAGGACAGTTCTCTTTTGTGGAGTTGGTAACGATCAGATATTGCTGTCCCCATGCAGTTCATGCTCTTTTAACACTCATATACTTTCAAAAGCTGGTCAATGAATAAGAAAGACTGATAATGAACTGATGCCTTTGAATTCTGTGGTCATAATTAACAATTATATTCCAGATGGAAAAATAAATATAACTAGCACAGAAGAATATTTAATATCCATCTATGACACCAATACCTTATAAACTAGGAATAGAAAGAAATATTGTTAACCTGGTAAGACTAACAAATACCGCTTTATGATAAAATATAGAAGCTTTTTTTTTTCAAGTTGGAAACATAATGAAGAGCCTGCTACTACTCAATTTATTCACATTGTATGGAAGATCTCAGCCAATAAAGGAGGACAAAATAATAACATTAATAGTAACAGTAACAAGAAAGAGGAAGAGAAAAAATACAGGGGGTGTAAAACTGTCATTTTTCAGAAAATCAGACTGTACAAAATAATCGCGGAAAAATTTATAAACTATGGAACCTATTTAAGAGAGTTATTTTGCTACATGAGGAGTTAACATGCATATAAAAACAATCAAGCAGTAACTAATTAAGAAAAACAAATTTCAAAAAGAAGGTATCATTTGGAATGGCAGCAAAAGTTATGAAAAACCTAAGAATAAAATTTAAGAACATTTTTTAGTCTTCATGAAGCTTAAACATCATAAAAATAAAAATCAAATTTTATTTAAAGATATGAAAGAAGACTTAAAGAAAAATTAGAAAGATAATAAGAAAGGATGAGAAGAGTCAATATTCTAAAGACTTTAACTGATTCTTAATTAACCTAAAATTCAGTACAATTCCAACATAAATTAAAATGTCACATAAAAAGACAAAGTGAGCCTTCCTACAAAGATGGCGCCGAAAGCGAAGAAGGAAGCCCCTGCTTCTCCCAAAACTAAAGCCAAAGCAAAGGCATTAAAAGCCAAGAAGGCAGTTCTGAAGGGCATCCACAGCCAAAAAAAAAAGCAGATGCGAACGTCACACACCTTCCTGCGGCCTAAGACGCCAGAGACTCCCAAGGCAGCCCAGATACCCCTGGAAGAGCGCCCCCAGGAGAAACAAGCTTGACCACTGATGCCATCATCAAATTTCCCCTGACCACTGAGTCAGCCATGAAGAAGACAGAAGATAACAACACACTTGTGTTCATTGTGGATGTCAAGGCCAATAAGCACCAAATTAAACAAGCTGTAAAGAAGCTCTGTGACTCTGATGTGGCCACGGTCAGCACTTTGATTAGGCCTGATGGAAAGAAGGCCTATGTTCGACTTGCTCCTAACTACGATGCTTTGGATGTTGCCAACAAAATTGGGATCATCTAAACAGTTCAGCTGGCTAATTCTAAATACAAGTTTTTCTCACTAATAAAAAAAGAGAGAGAGAGAGAGAAAGTGACCCCAAAGTGATTTTTTAGAAAGAATAAATAGTCAAGAACAGAAAAGATTAAGAAAAGAATCAAGCAGAGAGATTTGCCCTCTTTATTATAAAGGTATGAAATCATGACAGTTTGATATTAATACAAAAATAAGTACACAAAATAAAGAACTGAACTCAGCAAACTGGCTCCTCACAAACGCAAAAACCTCATGTATGACATTGCAAGTTACAAATCAATCGAAATAGGATAAACTCTTGAATGTTTCCTGACAGGACAAAAGGTAATCCATAGAGAAAAGCAAAACATAACCTAAAGTCCCTACCTCTGGCTACATATAACAATTAAGTTCAATTTGGAACAGAGCAAAACAAAAACTGACATTTAAATTTTTTTAAAGAAACTTTTGTAAACAATCTATATTTTAAAAAGCACAAATAAGTCAACAATAAATGAGCAATTATAATTATAAGTCTGTATCACTAAACATCTAAAAACAAAATACAAAAGAAATTTTACAACACATTTAATCAAAAAAGAAGATCCTATAAATTTATTTTAAAACGACAAAACCAACAGAAAAATTAAGCCAAGCATATCAACAAGTTGTTCATGGAGAAAAATCCAAACAATCAATAAGCAACAAAAACAACTCTTTCTCTCTGCCTATTTCATTGCTGTTGAGTCAGAATCAGCTCATAGCTGACACTCCAGTGAGTTTCCAACACTTTAAGCCACACAGGAGACTGTCCATCGTTATTTAGCTGAGGTACTGGAGGAGTCGAATGACTGGAGAGGCCTGTCTGTGTTAGAAGGGCAACTCCCTGTATACTGTACCACCAGAGTGTCTGTCCTCAATCTCAAGAGCAACAGGAGAATTCCACTGTAAACTCGAGTGACATTTCATACCTATCACACTTGTTAACCTTACATGCTGGCAAAAACCCTGATCTTTCCAGACACAGGAAGAGGGAGATAAATCAGTACAACCAATGACAAAAGCAAGCTGTCAATATATATACAAAGTTGAAGATGAGAAAACCTCACGACTCAGTTTCAAAAAATAAATTTTGTGTTCTATTCACACTATGAAATAATATGCAGCTATTAAAATTACTAGACTAAGCATATCTGCACAGATAAATGATAAAAACATGATGTTAACCAGGGGACAAAAAGCAAGTTGAAGGATACATTTGGTCTACTGTCATTTCTGTAAAGTTAAACAAACTTGCAATATTATGTGTTTTTTATGCAGACATGTACTATATAATATCAGGTTCAATCTAGTTTTTACTTGAGGAAGGGAAGATTAAAAAAGGAGAGTTCAACTGTATTTGGGGTTTTCCTTTCTAAATATGTAAAACCAACCTGTGGCAGTGATTTGTCCCCATCGGCGTGCAGTTTTAATTTCATCAGTGCAACCTTTGCAGCTGTTTCATTGTTTTTGGCACCTTTTCGTCGCTTACTCACTGTCACTGCTGTCTTGGACTCTAAGAGGGAAGCACATACATGTTTAAGACTTTATCATAAAGCACATATTACATAAAGCTTCCACAAATTATACACAACTGAGACACAGAAATCACATTCATTTAATTATCATCATGTACAATTGAGTAGGAACCAAACCACAGTTGACCTTCCAGAGGGTTTTCGGATGTGGGACATCACATGGAACATCACAGCTTTCCCCCTCAGAACAGCTGGTGAATTAGAACTATATACCTTTGCGTTAGCAGGGTAATTCCTTACTCTTAAGCCACCAGAGCTCCCTATTCATTTAACAGGTACTGAATTTACATGAACAATTCATTAATTATATGATCAACGGTTTATATGAGCAATGAGAAAAATACCGTCAAAATTGATCTAGGAAATCCTCATATTACAAAAACTCATTGTTTCTCTCCACCTTGGGCCTAGTTAATAAAGTTACAAAGCCTCAAACTCAAGCTCACTGAAAATGAATAGACTTCAACTCCTTCAGTGGGTTTCCGAGGCTGTATATCTCTTAATGGAAGAGTGTCCGTATTTCTCTCTCACAGCAGATGTGAGATGTAAATCACTAGAGGCACAGAATGAATTAGGCCACAATCACTAACACTTCCATAGAGAATTTTAATATTTAATTATGGAAGTTAATAAACATTTTCTTAATACAGAATGCAATTCTGTTGACCTAACAAACAAGCAAGGAACTGGTCAAACTCACACACATAATCTTTCCTGCTCCCTCATATTAGCAGCAGCATGCATAGGATAGCTGAGTAGGATTATAATTTAATCTTCAGAGAATGAAACACTACTTGAACCTCATAAATACCATTTCAGCTGTACTGATATTCTAAGTAGCCAACAACAGGGAATATCTGGGGGTGAGGGGGTACTTCCATGCAATTCCTAAATTTTTCTGGTAAAGTAGACTTTGTGGGAAATATTATCACAAATCAAACTCCATGGTAAATTAATAATACTGATGTGGTTAACAATTTCCATTACTGGAAAAAAAGGTATAAAAATCAGGCTGGAACTAAAAGAGTGCACAGCAATAATCAAATAACAAAACAAGCTATAGATACTTGCCAATAATGTCTTTAACAAGTTTCTGAGTGGCAGCCATCCGAGGTTTAGAGATTTCCAGTTTTTCACATTCATGGTCTGACTGATGACGGTGTCTATAATCAACAGAAGAGTAACTGTAATTCGTATTATTGCATATGACTTATAAACAGATATATAGGAGGTTCAATGGTCTAACTAGTCACCTCAGGCAAAAATTCTTTTCACAAAAAGGACATACAACTGGCACAAGTTCTTTTTCCGCACAATCCTTGAATGAGCATGGGTAAGATGTATGTGTATCTGTTTTTAGCCTCTCATTGACTATATTCACCTGCAAATATAATAGAGGGAGATGTCATATAGTTCACGTTTACAGCAAATCAATTTTGGTAAGCAATACTCATATAATCCCTTATTTATTAAAGCAAATCGCATGCTCTTATATAATAGATGGTCACTAAATAAAGCAAATCGCATGCTCTTATATAATAGATGGTCACTAAATATAGGAATTACAATCAATCTCTAGAGAAGGACATCATGCTTGGAAAAGTAGAGTTGGTAAACCTGATGAAGAGCTTCAACAACATGGACTGACAAGGTGGCTACTACAATGGGCGCACACAGAGCAGCTACTGTGAGGACAGTGTAGAATCAGTGTTCTGTTCTGTTATATAGCGGGTACTGTCCATGGGAACAATTTGAAGCACTTAACAACAATCTTTATGGAAACATAACAGACACATCTTTTTCCTGTGAAGATGGTGAGTTCAAACTGCCCTTTCAGTTCGCAGTCAACTACCTGTCACTGTGTCACCAAGGCTCCTTGACTGGTAGGTGTGTTCCTAACAGTTCACTGCTTTTAAGTCAATTTCACTCACAGGAACCCTGTAGGACACAGCAGACCTACCCATAAGATTTTATGGCTCTTGTCTTTATGGAAGCAGACCTATTTCTCGTGTGGAAGAGCTGAAGGGTTGAAACCACTCACCTTTCGGTTAGCAGACTGGTGTTAAACCAATGCATCACCAGACCTTCCCTACCTGCCTAATTTTGCATTTCCATGGCTGACCCATTTGAATTGGGGCAGTTTCTTACTATTAGTCCATTCACAACTCCTTATGCTGATCCTTTTCATTCTATATTAAGTTTCAATCATTCACTTTACTCTTTCTAGTAACAAAGTTGACAGCTTTTTGCTATCTTGACTCATTCAAATTTAGGGTGAGCTTTTTTTTTTTTTAACTATAGGGTTTTCCTGGTACTCTAACACTGACTGAGCTTGTACAATTTACTACCACAAAACCTTATCACTAAGCTCTAGTGAAAAGGCCTTACTCTAGTGAAAAGGCACACAGCAGTGAAAGAAAACTGTAAGCATGTGGCGAGGGTGTCAATGCCACTGTGTATTTGTAAATACACAGATGAACCCTCCAAGTGGACTACTTGTATACAAATGAACCGAAATGAAAATAAGAACTATGAAAAACGACACATGCCACATAGAATAATTTTTCTTCAAAAGAAAATGAGCAAAATAACATAAAGTAAAAGGCTCTTGACAGAAACCAGTTTTCTATCCTGAATTTCAATCTAGGGTATCCTGACCAGTTTGAAATCTAATCAAATTCTGAAGAAAAGCACATGAATAGAGACATTTTATTAGACAGGAGAAATATTAACTTACCTCAGAACAGCTATGTGACTCCTTGCTTCTGTGTTCAAGGCTTAAATAATTAAAAAAAAAATTACCTAAATGCAATCAAGTTATGCGTTTAAACAAAAGTGACTACAGTAATTTTATGTATTTTAATGTTTAAAATGAATTTACAATAGAACCGTGGAAATTCAACATGAGTAAAAAGAACTCATTATTCAAAATCACTTTTCCTTTGAATACTTTAATGTGCCTGAAAATAACACAAAGAATCTTTGGATATCTTTCATTTCTTAAAGATTATCAATTAAAAAAAGTCAAAAGAGTACTCTATATAAAAGATTTATAAAATATGCATTACTTTTATTTACTTGAAAAAGCTTCTTGAAATTAACTTTTGAAAATAATCCATTTTTTTCAGCTCTCTACTTAAATAAGATTTTTACTTAATATGAAAATTACAAAGAAAATTCATATTGTAAAATCCTTGGTTAGTTCCCAGATTTGATTTTATTTTATTTGTGATCTCTGCAAATGGCATGTGACATCCAATATAAAGAATGCACAGGCTGTGCACTTTTCATTATCAACTGAAAGTAAAATCATAAAAAGTCTTATCATGTTCTTTAGATTGTACATACGACTCTTCCTTTCAGTTAAAAGACCCAACTTTTACATAAAATTCACACATCTCCACTTGTGGAAATTTTAAGATCAGCCACAAATATATAGGAGTAACGAGAACCAATGAGCAGTGAAGTTTATTTTACCCCCAAGTGGTTAATGGGCTTCATATTAAATACTAACAGCTATAGAAACAAGTATCTAAAATCATTCTGCCTTTCAGACATAGACTCCAATATTATAAACACGAAAATTAATCTAAAATTCTGTAGAAAATTTAACTTACCAAAATATCCCTGAACAGCCATCACACACAAATGGAAGAAAATCTAAAATTGAAGAAAAATATTATATGTACCAGTATTTTGATTTTCATTTTCAGAAAAAAAGTAATCAAGTACTAAACTACCTCTGTGTTATGGACAACTCATAGCAGTCCTATGAACAACAGAGTCCTTGCCCTTTTCTGCGCCACCTTCAAAAACCCTGATCTGCTCGAGACCCTTGTTACAGGCACTGTGTCAATCCATCTTGTAGAGGGCATTCCTCTTTCTCTGATCCTCATTTGATCAAAATTCTAGTGCAGCAAGCAGTTGTTAAATATCATGATTCTACCAAACACTCTAGAAGTAGAAACTGCATTGCTTATTATAGAGGTAAGAGTTACTTGTAGCAGGGATGCTGACCAGAAAAAAGGTAGTTGTTCTTGAGCTTGTTTTGCTCTGTTTGCTGGGGTTTTTTTGTGGGGGGGAGGGGTTTTTTTGTTTGTTTTCTTAGGGAGATGGGTGTCAGGAGGCTGTTTGGTTTTATTTCAGTATTAGTTTTGAGGACTATATACTGTAAAAACCACTGAGTTTGAATTCTGAATTCCCTGCTTACTAACCTAGCAATGCTAAGAGAGCTGTATAATAGTAGAGCTTTTGAGATGTGAGTCTATCTCTAAATCTTAAGATAATTAGAGATCCATATGATATAGTACATATTTACATATACACAAAAAGCCTATATGTGCTATGTTATACTATGCACAAGGATCCCTAATGGCACGTAACAAAAATGGCAAAATGAACTTGACCGCTGACTGAAAGGTTGGCTGTTCAAATCCACCAGGTTCTCTCTGACAAGACATTGGGCAGTCTCCTCTCATAAAGATTTATCTCCTCAAAAAAGTATAGTCTTACTGCCCAGAGGAATCAACTTGATGGTAGTTTTCTAGTTGTGTGTGTGTGTGTGTGCGCGCGTATTTGGAAGCCGGAGAGGCATGCACTTCCTAAGCAACATGCCTCTATGAACTTTGATAAATGTCAATAGTTATAAAGGGACTTCAGGCCTTTTGTGCATAGGGTCGCTATGCTCGACTCAATCAACAACATATGTGCGTGCATATATATGTGTGTATACACATACACACACACATATACTATCTATCTGTTAGGGGTTTTTTCCTCCCAGTGAGCATCTATGGCTGTCTAATGTCTCACCTCCTAGTTTGATTCGAGAGCTAGATGAGAGGTTAGACAGCTCTAGCTGCTCACCGGGAGAAAAAAAAATTAAAAATGGATAGTCTACTCCTTTATATTTAGCCTGTGGGTGGTTCTATCCTGCTACATAGGGTTGCTGTGAATCTAATCAACCGCACAGAACACAGGTAACAAAAGCCTCTGAGAAAGACCATCACCCAAGCAGGTATCATTCATCCATTATTACTGCTCTTCTACTAGGTCTGGGCTGAATCTGAGAGTTCTTCTCAACAGTGATTCAGGAATCACTTCCAATGACTGAAGCTGCAAAGGGAGATTAAACCTGTGTGCCAGTCTCTGCAGTATGAGCCAAGTGATATTTGGAGCAAAGCCCAGGTATCAGAGACTGAGCTGTATAGTGTATGACTATGTTGGCACAGGAAACCTTCAGCTTGTTCAGGTGTATACGCGCTGAAGCCTGTGCCATGCTACCCACCCTTGACACTGGACAGAATAATGTGTATAATAAAATGTCTTCATGGCGAGACCACCCCTTCACTATTCAAGTTCGACATGGTGGTATGAAAGCTCTTCTGTGTCAATGGTAACCTTGTATGTTCTCAACATCTCAAAGAACCCTAAACTGTCATGGAATTGGAACGGACTCAGAGCTGATCCTCCAGCGGCTTTTCAAAAGCTGTAGAGACGAGACGGTCTTTCTCCCACAGGTGGATTCAAAGCACCTGCCTTTGGGTTGGCAGCACCATCTCCTTACCCACCAGGCCACCAGCGCTCCCTAGATGTCTGCTAACTGGATAATTTTAAGAATCAATTGAATAACAGGACTAGGAGAGCGTAACGATCACTATGTGGAACAGTTTAAGAAGTAAGCAAAAAAATCTGAGAAAGAAAAGTGCTTTCCCGGGATCACAGTGGCAAGGCCAGCGTGGAATCCCAATCAGCTCCAGTCCTCTGGGCGCATCCCAAAGCAGGGCACTTCTTGGGCAAGAAGCACTAGAAAATAAAAATAAATGCTGCAACGTGTTCAGAAAATGCATGGTTCCATTCTAACCAGTCTCTTCCAAAAGCTCGGCTGGTTTGTTGTTGTATGATCGAATCGGAATCCACCCGTAGCTGATCCTCCAGTGAGTTTGCGAACACTGAACCCTCACGGAAGGAGACTGCTCGACTGTCTCCCGTGAAGAAGCTGGAGGATTCAAACCGTGTGCCTTTTGGCTGGCAGCGCAGCTCCTTACCACCAGACCCAGAACCCTGAAACTCAGGAGGAACGTGGAAAGCATTTCACTGAAGCTCTAAGAGGGAGCCACCCACCCCACCTACTCAGACCCTGCCAGGTCCCGGGCCCTCCTCTCAGCCGCCGCCACCTTCAGGGGAGGAAGAGTGTGGTCCAGTCTACCGGGGCTGAGGGCTCCCTGATCACCTTGTTGCCTGCAATGCTCCACCTGACAATGTTCGCCGATGTCCAACTCCGCCATCTCCCGCGTGACGCAAGGGTCGGGGCAAAGCCGGAGGGGCGGGGCGACTGAGTTTGGCCGCGCGGCGCCTGCTGGGACCGGGAAGGGAGGGGCGGAGTGCGCAGTTGGGTTAGGCACGAAGAGTGGCCGAGTTTCTTGAGAGTGCGCCCCCATCTGGTGGAAAGCTGCCAGAAGTACCCAGAGCTGAGACCCACCCCCCACTAAGCCAGCCCACTTTCTGGAAAGTTGCATTCCACCATTCCCTTCTTGCTGTAACCAGGATCAGGAATTAATTCAGAAGAATTAATTTAAAAAAAAATTAGTAATAAGCCCTAAAACAAACACATTTTTGCTTCATTCCTGACTGAAATCCCCTGTACGAATGATGTTCCACCTCATCTGTAACTTGGAAGAATATACCTTAATATGAATATTCCCGGTATAATACCAGAATATACCTTAGTAACAAGGATGACATAAAAAAGGAGACTTGGGGATTGCTGAAACAGAAGAGGACTTGGAATATTTGCTGCAGAATATCAAGGACTGTAGTCTTTAATTTGGATTGAAGCTCAACATAAAGAAGACCAAGAGTCTCACCACTGGGCCAACCAGTAGCACCATAATAGATGGAGAAGAGATTGATGTTTTTGTCAATTTCAGCTTGCTTGGCTTGAAAGTCAACACTCTTGACACAGCACCAGCTAGAGCAATGCAGCCCGAGAACACCAGCGCCAGACTGGGTTCCACCACGAGAAGCACCAGGAAGAGACCCTGGAAGAACAACAGCCAGCCACCTACCGCGGAACTCCAGAGGAGCGAAGACTGTGAGACCCCAGAGGAACGAAGACTACCTACCCGACACTGTGGGACCCCCCTACAATCCATACCTGTGTGACCCTTAAAACAAAGGGTGCTGCTGCATAAACCCCCAGCAGCACCCAAGCCCCATTCCCACCTCTTGGTGGTAG